TAATATCAAACAGTTATTATTGCTACAATAAAACGTCCGCAATAAAAGTTCATTTCTAATGGTTCAAAACTACAAGATCGATATGCAAGCAATGACTAACAACGCGTTACCATCAGTTGCGCACGCGTTACCACGCGTTACCATCTTTTATTTAAAAAAAACTACTATATACATTTTATTAAAAACTTGATGGTAACGCGTGGTAACGCGTTGCTTTATCAACAAAATACCATAATGAATAGAATTACTAGGCGTTAACGCGTATGGTTATCTGAGATAACGCATGGAAATGCATTGTTTTAGTAACAGAAAAGCCAAATAGACAATTAGTACATGGTAACGCGTATGGTAACGCGTGGTAACGCGTGGTAACGCGTGGTAATGTGTTCTGTTCGTAATAGAAAAGCCATATTATAAGACGGTTAGTACATGGAAACGCATGTGGCAATGCGTGGTAACACGTTGCTTTAGAAATTTATAATTCAAATTAGCCATATTAAACATTAGTTTATGGTAACTTGAATAAATTAAATCTTTGACCCCACCAAGTAATCAAAAATTAATTAAAAAATGCTTATAGTTTCATCAACATTCAATTATCCATTAATTAACTTGAGTAACTAAAGTATTATTAATCCATGTGAAGTTATAGGATTTTATCTAAGAACTATGCACGGTTAAATCTCTAACTTAACGGACCGATCCAAGGATGTATTCTACATCCCTCCCCTCCCCCCCCCCACCCCATCCGGCTCAGAAGAAGACTTGATATGGTACCATTATATAACGTAGAGATCTTTGTATGGGCCTAACAATACTATCCAAATTATAGTGAATAGTAAGACGCTTCTTTTACTTCACAAAAATTCCTTAAATATTTAATCCTTGCCCCCACACCTCTGGGAACTAAATTCTCCTCCCGCTTCCCTCCTCCCGCCCACAGCTATTGTGCCGCACATAACATGATTTCAAATAACTTCGAGCTGCTGCCATCTAAGTTTTCTTAATTTCTAATATAATCGTCTACCAAACATACAGTGATATTTCTTGGATCTCCCCCCATTTCTTTTATATCTCCCCCCCCCCAGGTCAACTTGGCAGTACTGTACTATTCTACGTGTGAACAATAACCCCAATAGTATCATCTACAGTGACTACTACACATGCACACAAAGTGATTTCAAAAAAACTTCGAGATGCTATTAACTAAGTCTTATCAATTTTTAAGACAATCGTCCACAAAATATATTGAGACTTTTTAAATCAATCCCCTCCCCCCTTATTTCAATGTTGAAACCTACTGTACTTGTTCAAAACGAACATAAGGTGACACTAGCACCGCAACTGTGTCACTGGCAGTTGAAATTTAACATATGATGTTGGAATTAAACTATATTGTAGTGCCTAACAACATTGAAATCGGGGGAGGGGGTTTGTCTCAAATATTTTGTGGACGATTGTAGCCAGTGCAGTTATAAAAGAGGCATTCACCCCCCCCCCCCTGGATGTCTGCCATTTTGAATATTTTCAGGGGGATGAAGGCCTCTCATAAACGCACAACCTAGAACCATGGCGAAACCATTGTAATGGTTATGCCAAAATCACAGGCAAAACCAAGAAGTTGACCTTCTGTAAGGTCCTATTCTGTGTGACAGCAGCTCAAAATTCATATCATGTGAACAAATTTAGATTCGTCAAGAACTTGCACAGGAGTATGAACAAGTGAATGAAATTAATAAGACATTGAACAATTTCAAGAAAGACCCGACCCCATCCCACTATGGTGGAGCAGGGAGATTTGAAGAACCTACCAGAGACCCTGAAGTATGGCCACCCCCCACACCAGTTGAAAGAGAGAAAAGGTATATAGTTTAACCATCAGCAGACAGCAGTTATTCATGTAGATTGTTGGGGGTGCACCCCTATACATAGCACCCCCCCCCCCCCTCAATTCCCAACCCCCACATGCAAAATCTAAACCTATTCCTTTAGAAAATCCGAACCTTTCCCCCTGGAAGATCTGCATTCCACTTTCCCCTAGCTCACCCCTAGGAAATCTACACCCCACCTCCCTATAAAATATGCACACACCTACCTGATAAATGTTGACTTTCCCCAAAGAACACACAATACACATACAAAGCTTTCAACATTTTTAGAAATGTGCGGCCAGCTCCGAGGCCAGTAAAAAGAGAGGAACAAGCCGCAGCTAGACCCGCCGCAAGGAAGCCGTCCAATTCTCGTAGATCTGAATCCAAGCAACCAGAACGTGGGCGCGCACCTGCGGCATCAAAGAACCCGTCGAGGAATGAGAAAGATCGAGCTGGAGGGCGTGGGAAGAAGGTACACACATGTTTATCACTGATGCTTGAATTATTACAGACTCTTATCCCATTTGAAACAGCGGATTGACAGATATTCAACTACCTGAAAAACACAAGACAAATAAAACTTGATGTTTCGAGCGAAGGCCTTTCGTCAGGAAGTTAGTAAATCTCGGGGGGAAGTTTGCTCTGCCTTACTATGACACTTGTGTTGTTTTACTAATTTTTGTAGGATGAAGAGAAGCCAGAATCAAAAGAGTCTGAAGATGAAAAGAAATTTGATCCATCAGGCTATGACAAAGATCTCGTTGAAGGATTGGACCGAGATATTCTACAGAGAAACCCCAACGTGCATTGGTATGATGTGTATGCATTACTACTTCCTTGAGATCCAGTATGGCTATCTTTTGTCCACTGTTACTAAAGGATGAAACCTAAATTGAAGCTACTTTTAATATTTATTTTGGATTGCTATTTCAAATGTTGAATGCACACATATATGATTTCATTATCAGTTTCGTTCATGTGTGGTAGGCTTAAGACCATTGTTGGTGCTAATAAACTGGTAGGCCATGCTTGGTAGAGTTGCAATGCTACTCTTCACATTAAAATTTTACAATGTAGGTCTGACATAGCTGAACTGGATGAAGCGAAACGGCTGCTAGAAGAGGCAGTTGTCTTGCCATTGTTGATGCCTCAGTACTTTACTGGCTTGAGACGACCGTGGAAGGTAGGTGGTCGCTCTGCATACATTGACACAAGTCAGTCGTTGACACAAGGTGCTTCGTTTTTGGAGCGATGCCCACCTGCCTAGCTACAGTAACTAGTCCTTTATGTTCCCTATAGGGTGTGTGTATGGTGGGACCCCCAGGTACAGGCAAGACAATGTTGGCAAAAGCCGTGGCAACAGAATGTGGTACGACATTCTTCAATGTTTCCTCATCAACATTGACATCAAAATATCGAGGAGAGTCGGAGAAACTTGTGAGACTGCTGTTTGAAATGGTACGATGTTGTTGTGTACAGTATGTTTGTGGAAGAGACCATGACTATTTACTATTGCAAAGCTGTAAGGCAGAAACAGCACGCTGCCCTGCCGTCACGTCTGTAATGAAATTTTTGTATCAGTTCTTATGTACAAGTTCTTATGTACAAGTTTTTGTGATTTTTTGTACAGGCAAGGTTCTATGCTCCGAGTACAGTCTTCATCGATGAAATAGATTCGATTTGCAGTCGACGTGGTACGGAAAATGAACACGAGGCCAGTCGACGAGTCAAGTCAGAACTTCTCGTTCAGATGGATGGTAATAAGTGATATAAATTAGACATTTATGAATTTAACTTTACAAGCAAGTCGTTGATATTGACGTTTACGGAAGACCGCAAAGTTCAAATTGTATTTTTTTTTTTTTTTTCTTGTCAGGCGTGGATGGTGCCACCTCTGGAGATGGCAAACTGGTGATGGTTCTTGCCGCAACAAACTTTCCTTGGGATTTAGACGAAGCTTTGCGCAGACGTTTGGAGAAACGAATATATATTCCTTTGCCAACAGGTTAAGATTTTATATCATGTGTTGTACGTATGTATCCGTGATATTATGCTGTTACTCGTCTGACTGGGGCAGTTCATAGTATAGGGGATTAGCCTTGGTGCTTATGTGTCTAATGTTTTTATCTTTGTGACGGTGTGACCAACATATCATTATCACATCAGTCGCAGAAAAGTCCTTCTACATTTTGACTCTACCAAAGACCGCTCTGGGTACTCGGTTATTTCCTGTAGTAACATTGAACAAGGCCTGGTCCTTAACCCTTGCTGGACCTCTAGATATAACTGTTTTGGTTGAACAGATAGAGCTATCCAGTATAGATACAGTTAGTTTGGATTGTATAAGTTTAGTTTAAAAGACCATCAGTGAGGGCTATAGTTGGCAAGAGAGAATAGTTCAGAACTGATAGCAACCTCGTGCCCAGGTCTTATTTGCGCCCTTGAGCAGATATAACTATCTAGTATAAACATTGTGCATTTGGAATTCACGTGAAATGTGTAAACCCAATGTTTCTCCCTGCAGCCAAGGGAAGATTGGAACTGCTGAAGATATGTCTTCGTGATGTCGCTCTTGCTGAAAATGTCGTGTTGGAAGAAGTTGCTGAAAGTATGGACGGTTATAGTGGAGCTGATATTACTAATGTTTGCAGGTACATTGTGTTGGCAGTGAAGCGATCATTTCTGAATTACACCCTAGTTTTCAAGAGCAACTGAATGACCGAAGTCCCTTCGCCAGGACGTTATAGTGGCTAACGAAGAAGGATCTTCACTTGAAATGTCCAAGTTCTCCTTGTATAGAGGCAATTCCAGCTTTTAATTTATGCGCATAATCAGCAATATGATACCTTACTCCCCCCCCCCCCCCCCCCCCCCCTGCACGCATAAACTAAAAGCTGGAATTGCCTAACTATCTATACTGGCACAGACTGTTCGAGGTTACCCCTGTTATCTCATGTAGGAACACTCGATCAATAGAGGATGGCCCTTGCTGGACATTTATATATTGGAAGAACAGCTTAGATCTGATAGAGCTATTTAGTATAAATCAGTTTAAGTTTGATTTAGTCGTATTGTGTAGATGGGTTGTAACTTTACCCCATAGGAGTTTTACAGGGTTCGTACAAAACTTGAAAATCCTTGAATGTCCTTGAATTTGAAAACAAAAATTCAAGGCCTTGAATATCCTGGAATTTGTAAAGAAGTGCTTAAAAGTCCTTGAATTCTTCTTGCTTTAGTGTATGGATATTTTCTGAAATTGTTTGACATTCAAAAACGGACATTTTGTTGAAATGATTTTGAATGGTCATATCGGACAAAGCTGTTTGAAATTCACTAAAGTTGCGTTTTGACGTGACATTGTACTGATTTCTAACGTCTTCCTTTCCGTATTTAGTCCTTGAATTTGCTGATACAAGTCCTTGAATTTGACTCTCTCTGATATGTACGAACCCTGGTTTTAACCTTCCCCTCAGGGAGAAAATGTGAGGGCGATGGAATTCTTCTTCCACATTGACACACATGATTATTTTTGTGACCAGGGACGCTTCAATGATGTCAATGCGAAGACGTATTCAGGGTCTTACACCTGAACAAATCCGTAATTTACCCAAAGAAGAGGTAGATCTTCCAGTCAATATGGATGACTTCAAGGAAGCTCTAAAGAAAGTCTCTAAATCAGTCTCGGAAGCCGATATCAAGAAATACGCCGATTGGATGGACGAATTTGGATCTAACTAGTAGTAACATATTACATTTGGTGCGGTTAATTTAGTAAGCGTTATTACGGGGCAGCAAATGGCATTCAACTTCATGAAAGCCGGAAAATTAAAGTTTTGTTTTTTGCCACCAAATACAACAGTAGTGTGAACTATGCTATTAATATATTGAATTTGATAAAATGTTATCATAAATATAATGCTGATTTTTCTTCCTTGTGAGGGTGGGGCCCTTGGCGCTTACGACGGTGTCTAGCGGGGGGGTGGTGGAGAGAATCATTGGCCTTCCTCTTTGCCATCCAGGTTGTGCATTAGAGATGCGGAAGTAATTATCATTCGAACATCATAAGCAATTCGATTCTGAGGACGTTTTTATCACAAATTGTTATTTTTTGTTGCTGAAATGGCAACAAACGGTCATTCAGGTTATCCATTGAAGTGGTTTAAAGACCAGAATGCTGCGAGACATGCTTATGAGTGCGCTATTTGTTTGGAAGTCTTAAAAGATCCCGTGCAAATCAGAGATTGTGGACATCAATTTTGTGCTCTTTGTATTGACGATATCCTCAAGTAAGTTTCAGTTTGCTTTCAATTTTCACTTTCAATGCTGTATTTGAGAATATAATTTTGTGCATTGTTTACATATTTTTTGCTTATGCTTGTGATAATGTTGATTGTTCTAGACAACCCTCACAGTATTAAATAATATTGAAATCCACCCTCTCATCTTTAACTGATATGGCCTTCTATGTAGCCACGGTCTCTAATTTGGTCTGTTTTAAATATGGATAGTATCCATAGTGACTGTGGTGGATTTGGCATTAATATTTTTTAATTTTACAGGTCGGATCCTAAATGCCCGTCCTGTAGAATCAAAATTTCAGATGCAATGGTATGTCATCATATATACAAATTAAATAAAATTTTGCAAACTTCAAAACGGTTTGTGCCAATGTAGGTTGTGGCAATAATAAGAAAGCTTTGGATTAATAGGGATACAACTAGTACCTGAAAAATAGAAGGGTATTTTACAGTAGTTCTGTTGCATCCCTATCAAACTGAAGCTTTCTTACTTGCTGGTATGTGCAAGCATTCTTCACTTTTACTAGCTTGTACTATATTAGATTTTTGAAGACCATGCAGCGAGAAGATTGATCAAACAACTGGATGTAAATTGTTGCAATGAAGGCTGTAGCTGGCAGGGATCTCTCAGTTCTCTTCTACAGGTGCAATACATTTGTATTTGTACTAAAAGTATGTGCAGGAGAAGAATATAGCTCATATTCTAGCTTAAAAAACACAAAGTCTGTTAGTCTGCAATAGAAGGGAGTGACTAGGGCACAGAATAGAGACTATACTGAAGCCCGACTTCTTGGTTTTTCCTATGATTTTGGTGCAACCATAATTCGTCATCAAAATGCTGACTCCCTGGTTATAGCCAGTGCACTTATGAGAGGCATTCACCCCCCTGATAATATTCAAAATGGCAGATGTCCAGGGGGGAATGCTTCTCATAAGCACACTGCATGGCCAGGACCATGGTGTCAGCAACATTAAGATGATGACGAATCATGGCCAAAATGAATTTTTCTTCAAATTTTCATGAAAAAAGTTAGACTTTGCTCCAAGTTGACCTCTACTACACACATGAAAATCTCACATCTTGTAACAAGTCTGCCAACAAGCCGCCAACAAGAGGTATTCGCACTGCTTGTCACAAGTTGTCAACAGGTTTGAAACAACTTGTTGACAACTTGTAACAACCTTGTTGAAATTAGTATCAGACTTGTTGCAAGGTTGTTCTGACAAGTCTGTTACATGCTTGATATAACAAGATTGTTACAACCTTGTGTTGACAACTGTCAAGGTTATCAGCGCAACTAAAAAAAGCAAAAACATGCATAAAAGCAAAAGGTTAACACGAGGCAGTGGCAATGGTGGTGAAAGGCATATCAGAACCCCACCAATATCAATGTGATTAGAAGCGAACTTTCTCTAAGCCTCATTTAAATATCCACCAATATCCTTTTAAATTGCTACTCTGGCATAGAAACGACAAAAGTGTACCTAAAACTTAACGATTTGTCTCTAAATCCGCATGTACAATATGTTCAATCTAGAATCATCAGAATAGCTGCAACTCTACCCGTAGTGGCAATAATGTCAATCATCTTGATGTGGGTGAACTTGAGCAAAAACTTGAAACTGTTATGCTGAAAGTTTCAGCTTTGGAGAAGAAGGTGACAGTTTGTGGGGTTTTTTTCGGCTGTGATATTGACTTTTGTGTACATTTTGTTTGACTAGTAATTTTTGTATTTATAAATTTTTAGCATGAACAGGATATCAAAGATCTTAAATTGAAGGTAATTAATACTTTTGGTACAATTAGCATAGTCAGTATTAAATTAATTCTTTCTATGGTGATCGCAGTATATACCTGTGATTTCGATTCTGACAGTTTTATCAACTTTTGTGTTTAATTTTAACATTTTTATAATAACAAGTAATTTTTGTAATAATTTATAGCATGAACAAGATATCAAAGAACTTAAAGTAAAGGTAATTATAGTGTGAAAGTAATTGGTACCAGTATTCACTGTTTCTCAAAATTATTTTTGTGTAATTCACCTAATGATCTTGGTAATGCACCCTACTGTATTGTTTTACTTAATTACTTTGTCTAATGCCAAACAATTTTACTCCTCTGAAGGGGCGAGTGCTGGAGCTCAATGGTTAAGAAAGTGTTTCCTAGCTTGTATTTTTTTTTTAGAAATTCATTGTTTTACACAACTACAGGCTATAAAATTATTACTGTATAACTGACAATATAAATACTAATGCACATTCGTAGATCTTATTTTCATTGTTCAATTTTTGTTTATTTTTTGTTCAAGCTCACACTGGAGCGTGAGAATGAGTTGATTCAAGTCAAGGCAAAGGTAATTAAGTTAAAAGTTTTTATCTATTCTAACATGGTCTTCATGAAGAGTGCATTTACGGAAAATTGTCTAATTTTTTACACCAAAGTTTCCAACATTTAGACAAGTGATAAAAAAAATATCGATCGGGTTTGTACTTTTTAAATTGCCATTTTTGATTGACCTAGCATGCAGCAGATGTGATACTTCTTGGAGAAAAAATCGAACTGTTACAGGCCATGGGAACTGTGCAGGCTTCACAAGTAGTACTGCAGCAACCCTTACCATGCCGGGGATCTGAACCAACATTCACATGGAAGATAACAAACTTTAGAAGAAAGTTAGCTCAAGCAAAATCTGACAACAAAGTTGGTGTAACTCAAAGTGAACCCTTTTTCTCCAGTCATGGTTATAAAATGAAGCTTCGGGCCAATTTAAATGAAGGACTACGAGGCTACTGTGGTTATATGGGGGTTTATGTATGCTTCATAAAAAGTGATCAAGATGCGACTCTGTCTTGGCCTTTCGCAAAGCGTTTCACATTAATTCTTATTGATCAACAAGACAACATAAATCAAAGAGAAAACATTAAGAAAACATTGGTTCCACATGGAGAGAAAGGGTTTGGGAGACCTCAACAGCTTGAGAACACCTCAAGTCAGGGAAAACGACAGTTTGTTTTACAAGTCAACTCTACATACTCGTCAATTCATCAGGGATGACACTGTATACATCAAGATCACGATCGATCTATGAAAATCATGATGCATTGACTGGTGTATATCAAGGACATGTACTGTATTATAAATCTATTTTCATCTTGGTATGGCCCATATTGGCATATAACCTGCACCACGGAAGGGATAGAGATGCACCGGATATTGTATCCGGCCAGATAGTGAGATAATCTCAATATCCGGTCAGATATATATATATATATATATATAGCTTAAGATTTTGGTTTACGAAACACAAACAGTGCTCAATACCATATAGATAGAGCGTAATATAGTTTTTCGTTTTACCTCAAAAAACCACAACAGTCTGTTTCATCCGTATAGGAATCATCAGGTGGTCTTAATTGAATTGGCTGTACCACCTGATATATGATTCCTATACGGATGAAACAGACTGTTGCGGTGTTTTGAGGTAAAACGAATATATATATATATATATATATGTATGTATATATATATATATATATATATATATATATATATATATATATATATATATATATATATATATATATATATATATATATATATATATATAAAGGTTAAGGTGTTATTTTCCGGCTAAAAATCATTTAATGAAAAAGTAAAAATGGTCGTTGAGAAGCTTATATCAACAGTATCTGGCAGGATATTTTTCAATTGTCTCACTCTATTGACTCTGTTATGATCGAATCTGATTTCATTTAATATTGAACATTATACAGTATATTTTTAATTAATGAATCATTTATATGATACTATTGTTCATATCACAGAAATCATTGAGATCGATAATTGGTTATAAATTTACAGCTGGTTATTTTGTAATTCATTGATGACATATGTCAACCAACCCTACATGCAAATTCCGTTGTCACTTTGATAATAAAACATGAGGCACCTTAATTAATAATCTACCATTATTTTCTTTTTTATTGTTGCTCATTTTTCAGCATGAAATGACTAAAAACAAGTTGAAGGAAATCCAGTCAAAGGTCAGTTTTTTTGTAGTTAGGGCGGTATCATTTTGACTGCAACTTGGTATTTTTAGTGATTTTAACTCGTTTGTCCATATATAACTCTTTCTAAATGATTTTTTTTGTGCTGGCGTTGTGTACTCAGGTGAATATGATGTTTGTGATGTTACTCTGAGTGTGTATATCCACACCGGGCAAGCTTGAAAAATATGCCTGACCACCGTGGCCAGACATATTTTGTCAAGCTTGCCCGGTGTGGATATACACTTCAATTCGAATCAAGCAATACAAGCAATTCGAATCAAAGGTCAGTTTCACTTTTTAACAATTAAAAAATGTGGTTGTAATTGTTGGTCCCAGTATGAGAAACTTAAAGACAGTGATATTGATTATTGTTCTAAAATTTTTATTAATCTAGCACGCTGAAGATGTGAGGCTTCTTGGGCAAAAAATCGAAGTGGTACAGTTAGCCATGGGAGCTGCGCATGCTCCACTGGCAATGCAGTTTCCTCAACAACTCTTGCCTCGTCAGGAACCTGAACCAGATTACACGTGGAGGATAGCAAACTTTACAAGAAAACTAGCTGAAGCAATATCTGACGATGACTTTGGTGATATCGAAAGTGAACCTTTTTTCTCCAGTCATGGTTACAAAATGAAATTGGAGGTCAATCTGAATGAAGGACCATGTGGCAGTTTGGAATATATGGGCGTGTACATAAGCTTGATGAAGAGTGATCGAGATGGCGCTCTGCCTTGGCCTTTTACAAGGCGTTACACATTCATTCTTGTTGATCAACAAGAAGATCTTAGCCAAAGACAAAACATTGGGTACTCAGGAGTTCCAAAGGGAGAGATACAGTTTAAGAGACCTAGACAGCGGGAGAACTGCGGTATTGGGATCTCTCGCTTTGTTAGACATTCAACTCTGCACACTCGTCAATACATCAGAGACCACGCTGTATACATGAAAGTCATAGTAGATCCATGAAAAGGTTTTTACTGTTCCTTGCAGATACCTAATGCCAAATATAACAACTCTATCTGATTATAGGCTATAGCAACCCGGAACATCAGTAAAAACGTTGAAGTTTTATTCAAATTGGTTGTATTATTATAAGCAAGTTTTTGCAAAATTTCATGTAGAATTAATACTTTTATAGATGTTGAGTCTGTAAATATATTGTGACATCACAGTGTGGTTTATACAGTTTCTTAAATTTAGAAATACAGTTTGATTCTAGCCTCCTCCGCAGGCATCTCACTGAGGAATCGGGTGGTGAGAAAAAGTTTGGTAGAGAGGCCTGCGGAGGAGGCTATTTGATTCTCCGTAGGGCCACCTTAAGTATTTCCAAAGTACCGTTTCTCCAAAGAGCGAAGAAAGTGCGCAGTGAATGATGGGAGGATTGAAAGAAACACGTGGTGGTTTTCGCTCTTTCGAGTGTTCACTTTCCCATCAATGTAAACTTCATGTAAGCCTCTGTGGAGGTGATACTAGATAGAGTTTGGTCGAGCTCAGAATACTATGTCAACTGTAATTTTTTTAGTTCAGCCGTTTCTCATCAAAGTTCATCATTTTGGGAAACACTAGTGCTATATAATATTTAGAAAATTAATAAGTAAGCAGAAAAATCCTTCTAGCGCCGCTACGTAGGCTATATCTTTATAGAATATCTATCAGTCGTACGACTCGTACCGCGGGCTTTAACTAACGGACGTTACACTTGTAAACTGTTCTCGTTGCTCGGGTTTACAGTCAATTTCAGCTGACTTTTCATCGTAAGATTCCGAACTTCGTTCCGAACTTCGCAAATTCGTTGCCAAGTTCAAAAGTTCATAATGAATTCACAAACAGGTTTGTAAACTGGCTGGTTTGATTTAATAGCCAATCAGAGGCTTTGTTTACAAACCTGTTTGTGAATTTCATTGTGAACTTTTGAACTTGGCAACAAATTTGCGAAGTTCGGAACGAAGTTCGGAATCTTACGATGAAAAGTCAGCTGAAATTGACTGTAATATTTAAACGCTTGCTCTTTGCCATCCAGGTTATACTTTAGAGGTCAGATACTGTAACTTATAAAGCGGAAGTGATTATCATTCGAAATCGAGGATTCATAAATTCCATAGAATAATTCCACGAAATCATCACTCCTTGACGTTTTTATAACGCGGACATGCGGACACGCGGACATGCGGACACGCGGACATGCGT